TGGAACTAGGTTTATGTAAATCAATCTATTACCCACAGCGTGGTACACAGGCTTATGATTTATATTCTCTGTGGCTTTGAATTCACAGGAATTTATTTGGCGCTATGTCTCATTCTAATGTCCCATTTGCATGAATCTCATTAAAAAAAAAACAAAACACCAGGCTACACAAGATAAAGCTATATCATTCTCCAGTATACAGAGGTGGGGTCATTCCATAGGAGTGAGCTGTAAAAATGTAACAATCTGATTATAATCACTTGCTTATGATGTTATGATGCCATCCCTGAGAGGCAACATCTGCCTTTCCTTTCCAAGCAGGCCCTATCGCTTATTCACTCCTTCAGTTTCTTCTTCCTCAAAACATTAAAGGTGTGCTATTGGCGTTTTGTGCAGGACGAAGACGAGACAGTGTGACCACACAGGGATCAGAGGGTTATATTAAAGATAAAGGTGTTTATGCAGCATATGTAAAAATAAGAATTTCAGAGCAAATGAGTCTCCATCCCTCCTGTGGCCACAATAGAATTCTCACAGCTCAGAAAAGGTGTGTAGTGGGAGAGAGCAGTGGCAGTACCCTACCTTTTCCTCTTCAGAGTACTGTAACGTAAGTGGGATCACATTTATAGCTGGTTTAAGAATCTCAAAGTCTCTAGCCACCACAAGGTGGTACATGTATCCTGTAAAGGGAAACTGTTGCTGCTGAAGGGTGAAAAGTGAATTCTAGCACTGAAAGTCGTCCTTTGACAGGGCACACATATGTCCGTCCTGCACCTTAGCTCATGCAAAAAAGCAACTACTTCTTGTTGGTCTTGGCTACTTCAGCAGGGCTAGAGAAGTAGTAGGTTAGTTTTGTTCTGTAGAAAGCAGAGGATACGGTTCCTGCATTCTAGGAGAAATAAAGACTACACTGTCTTTTCAGCCAGCAATTTAGGAATCCAGGACTTAATAGTCAAGTCATTTAGAAAAGCCCAAGCACAGTTATACAGCTGATGAGTTTTAGATACACTGACCAATGTGTGCATGTTACGCATTCTTCTTTCTGGCTAAATCAGTAAGTGACATGTCATTTCAACTCTCGTTACAGAGTTTGGGTTTTTAAGTTGTAAAGACACACAGGCAGGGTCTACACCACCCTAAGTAGCACAGGTCAATGACGCAGCTAGAGTATTCCTTGACCTAACTTGCTAAACCACATTGCCAGACAGCTTCAGCACAGCGTACCAACCTTGGTTCAACAGCCATCCTTATTCAAGCTACCCAAAATGTTCATCTAATCTTGCAGAATGCAATTTTAGGTCCTTCGAGAAAGACTCAGCAGCTAACTTGTCTGTTCAGCATAAACCACGTGATGGCACTAGAAGACCAGACAGAATATATGGTTCTAAACTGGGCTTGGCACACGGGTAGGTACGTGCTTTGGCTATCAAAAGTTAAGCTTTCCCCAGCTTGTCTTAGCGCGGTCTTTCTTTCCAAATAGGATGGCGAGGAGTTTGGGCTGAACCCTGAATTCAAAATCTAGTGATAATTAGTCTTGTCTTTAGTCTCCGGAGATCCCTGATATTCACCAAAAGCTTCTCAGAACTATCAGAGCATGCCAAAGCATGTTTTCTCACAAGCTGAATTAGATATGCCTGGGTCTAGTATCAAGAATGTCCTTAGACGTCTAGATTCCCATGGCAGTGGGCACAATGGCAAGATTAGAAAAGGTTTCCTTTTGGAACATGAACTTTTGAAGTTCCTGAGAAGCAGCAGCCATATAGTGATACAGAGACACAGAAATTAAATGGTTCAGGTTAAGATTCTGTCTGTATCAACTGATCATTTGAATGGCGGTCCCCAAGATTTGGCACAGACCTAAGCAGAAACATCACACTTATTAGTAACATAATTTCATTGTATAAACCAGCCCAGGTTTTTCAGTGGCTACATGCCTCTCTTCACTCTAATTCACTTGAGTCTCCAGTACAAAAAATGCTTGGACCATTTGTCTGCTGTTCATGTAGCAATCTACCAAAAGCAGCTAAACCTGAAAAAATGGAAAATTCTATTTCCTTCCATTTAGAAAGATCATATCCGTTTTTTTTTCCAGACAGCTGCCTATAAACTCAAAAGCTATTTTAATGTAATTATATTTAATCAAATTATGATTTTCATTTGCTGGAAGTACAGGCAACAATATCATAATAGAGAAACTGATTCACAGTGGAAAATACACTGCAAGTGTCACTTTCTCTAAATATTATACAATTAGTACACTAAATCCTGCATACATCATTGAATATGTAAATTGATATCTTCTACTTGACATCAGATTCTTACAAACAACATTAATTCTTACAAAAGCTACTCATTGTTTCAAGAAGTTTCATACAATGGTCTGTGATTTTATTTACCTTGGGAAAAAAACCACACACACACACCCCCCCCCAAAAAAAAAGGAAAGAAAGAAAGAAAGAAAGAAATGCATTAAGCAATTGTAGAAGCAAACCAACCCAACTGGGGCACCACGACCAAAGCAAGCCCTGTAATAGTATAATGACCTTTAATGAGTGTCTGGGGAAACAATACAGTCCTAGCATAAAAGACAAAGGGCAAAACCCATCATGGCTCCACTGACACTAATTCAAAATGATTTTCAGAACAACTAAAGAATGTAAGAGAGGTAATCTGATCCACCAATCTGACCTCACTTTGATTCTGGGGCCCTGCTGCTGCCATTTCTAATTGTCAAACACTCTGCATTTCACATCTGCTCATATTTAATGAAAAGCTGACTCTCACCGCCATTCTTTGAGTTAACTAGCTCTGTCAAGATGGGCATCATACGACCCCTGTGTACTGCAAAGAAAACACACTGATTTCCATTGAAGCCTTGCCAGTGAAACGATGCATGTGTGTATATATATATTTTAATTTGAAAAGAAAGCTTATGCTGCTTTGCAAAGAGCATGGATTGGTATTGATTTTCATACTTATTATTAGTAGTCAAAGGTGACTAGTCTCACAAGGGGAAGAGTGAGATCTCTTTTGATTTGATGGAGTGATGAAAGGGGGAAAAGGCCCTTGAAAGATAGGATGCTAAAAATCCTCAAAGCTGTCAATATCACTTATCCTTCAAAATATGACATAGATCTAACGTGTTTCCCAACAGGATTGTTTTTGGTGGCAATAATACCATTATTGTGGAGGTTTTTGGCTCAGCAGGCAACACAATCAAAAATGTTTACTTTATCTGCCTCTGTAGAGTTGTAAGTGAACTTGAAAGCTATGGTAAACCTACAAATTACGGTTTTTCTCTCCTTGCCAAACAGTGCTAATGGCAGAAATTTTACCCGTTTGTAGGGGACATATTCATTTAGCCTGGTCTGGTTGCTGTTAACACCGGTGCCGGGACCCAACCGCATACTCTCTGCACTAGTCCGTATTAATGCAAACTATACCAGGCACTCTGTTACTGAGGCCGTTAGGCTGTGTAAGTAGCACTGCCTGCAGTAACTCTCAATCCAGGAAGATTTCTTGTTCACTTTTCTTAATAAAATAAGTTTTGCTATGTTTTACTACGATAAAGGTCTCTTTAAAGGATAAAAACTCCTGTAACTTAGAATAGAACTTAAAACTGGGAAGCATCTCCCCTGAGGTGGTGCACGAGTTGCGACCAAGTAGATAAAAAGGACATTGAGTGTGCTTACACACATATACAGAGAGAAGGTTTCTGGTAAAATCTCTAAGAAATCCTATTAGAATCAGTTTAACTGACACAGTCTTCAGACAAAAAATGCTAACAAAAATCATAGTATTGTTATAGACTCCACATTTGTGTCTGGAAAAATAGTTCAAATGTCAAAATAGTTAGAGCAGAGTCATTCACCACTTGGACTATACACTGCAATACACACATGGTATAAAAAGGCAGCCAGATGCATAATCTACTAACTACATTATACTCTTAGTAGTGGAAAGCATTTTTATCCGTGATGACTTGTCATGTAAAAGCAGACATGCTTCCTGATCAAAATTCCTAATACTCCTTATAGATGTATCCGAATAATTTTACAGTTTTTCTTTGCC